CGCTGTACCCGGTGTGGCTTCCTCTACATCGGGGAAACCAAGCGGAGGCTCGGTGACCGCTGTGCAGAACACCTACACTCGGTTCACAATAAACAACTGCACCTCCCAGTCGCGAACCATTTCAACTCCCCCTCCCATTCCTCAGACGACATGTCCATCCTGGGCCTCCTGCAGTGCCACAACGATGCCACCCGAAGGTTGCAGGAACAGCAACTCATATTCCACTTGGGAACCCTGCAGCCCAATGGTATCAATGTGGATTTCACAAGCTTCAAAATCTCCCCTCCCCCTACCGCATCCCAAAACCAGTCCAGCTCATCCCCGCCTCCCTAACTTGTTCTTCCTCCCACCTATCCCCTCCTCCCACCTCAAGCCGCACCTCCATCTCCTACCGACTAACCTCATCCCGCCCCCTTGACCTGTCCGTCCTCCCTGGACTGACCTATCCCCTCCCTAACTCCCCACCTACACTCACCTTTACTGGCCCCATCCCCGCCTCTTCGACCTGTTTGTTTCCTCTCCACCTATCCTCTCCTCTATCCATCTTCTATCCGCCTCCCACTCTCTCCCTATTTATTTCAGAACCCCCTTCCCCTCCCCCTTTTCTGATGAAGGGTCTGGGCCCGAAACATCAGCCTTTCTGCTCCTATGATGCTGCTTGGCCTGCTGTGTTCATCCAGCCCTGCACCTTGTTGTCTCGGATTCTCCAGCATCTGCAGTTCCTACTATCTCTGACCTCGTAGTTGTTTGCTATTTCAATAAACCACCTTGTTTACATGCTTACGTTTCTCTCTTGAACTTGTTATATTGATTCAATGGAACACAATGCAAGCTGGAGAACTTAAGCATTTACAGCCTCATGGACTCAATACCGAACTTCACAATATGACACCTTTGTCCTTTATTTTTCATTCATTCCCAGTTCGTCATCACTTTTGTTCGTATCTTGTTGACTTTGCTCTCAGCAGAGCACTCACTTTTCTCTTTTCACACCTTCTTTTGCACGTATTTTGCATCTCTATCACTCCTTCATCACCATTAGCAACCCTTTATCTTTTGCTCTGTGCAGCCTAGCTATTCCTCCCTCTCAGTCAGCAGCATAAAGACTGCTATTTTGCAGCCACATTCAGTTCTGAAGAACAGTCATACCAGATTATAAATATTAATTGTATTTCTCTCTCCACACATGCTGAGTTTCTCCAGCACTTTCTGTTTTATTTCAAACTTGGAGCATTTTGTTATAATACAGAATTCCCACGATAGCAAATGGTCATAGAAAAAGGTTCAAATATTTCAGTAGATTATGTATAAAGTACTCTGATGCACTATATCCAAAATGCATATTATAGGATCACTACACTACAGATAGAGGCCATTTGACTGCAGCAAAGAGCATCCCCACCCACCCTATCCCCATAACCATGGCCAATCCACCTAACTGGTACATCTTTGAACTGCAGGAGGAAGCTCACACAGACATAGGGAGAACATGCAAACTCCAAGCCTGGAATTGAACACGGGTCTCTGGTGCTATGAGGTAGCAGTGCTAACCATTGTGCCACCATGCCACCCTGCCACCCTAAATGATAGAAAATGGTAAGAATTGATTTGCATTCACACTTGTGATCCCAAATAGGTTTGAGTCGCCTATTGTGTAAAAGGAGCTGAATAAGTAAATATTTCTCTATTGAGTCAATTAGCAGACGGTCATTCTAGGTACTCTGTACTACAGGTGAGTGGATTTAAAGATGACTGGTATTTGAACAATGCAAGGGAAAAGGTCTGTCCCTTCAGCTACTCTCAGCAACTAGACATGGCATGGGAAAACACTGACAAGGGTAGAAGGATAGAATACAAGAAAGCAAAAATAACAATTTAATATATACAAAATGTTATTGTGTTCTTACTGCCTGCTTCCTGTATTTGACTAGTATTGGATGTTCAGTGAGCATTGTACTATCCGTGGTGACTGTTCCATAATCCCGTTCTTCCTTATAAAACTGTTTGTTGAGATGCTTCGCTAACCTTTCATCATGGGTTTTCCCGAGAGATTCCAAGTCCACAAGCTGCACAAGAAAAATAATACAGAATTAACCCACACATGTTCCCTTTCAGTCTGGCTTCCTTAAAGCTACAGTACTGTAATACTAATGTCAGCTCCTGCCATATCTTTTAAGATGAATCTGCTGGAAAAGTGCTGATGTTTGTGGGAAAATCGAATGGAAGCATATTGATAAATGGGTTTAATAATGTTACTGATAAAAAGCACACCAGGCAGCATCTGTGGAATGAGAAGCAGAGTTAACAGGGAGAATCTGAACATTGAGGAGTGCGTGGGTTTAGGTATAGATAGGTTTAAGTCCAACAAAACTTTGAGAGAATGGGGAAGGTAACTCCAACTTTCACACTTAACTTGTTGCATCTCCCAGGCAAGGCAGATTTCCATCATTTTTTTTTAAATTATAGAATGCCTACAGTGTGGAAACAGACCATTTGGCCCAACAAGTCCACACCAACTCTCTAAAGAGCATCCCACCCAGACTCACCACCCCCCCCGCAATAACTCTGCATTTCCCATGGCTAATCCATGTAACCTAGGCATCCCTGTTTGCTATGGGCAATTTAGCGTGGCCAATCCATCTAACCTGCACATCTTTGGACTGTGGGAGGAAGCCCACACTGACATGGAGAGAATGTGCACATTCCACACAGACACTTGCTGGAATTGAACACAGGTCCCTGGCACTGTGAGGCAGTAGTGCTAACCACTGAGCCACTGTGCCACCCATCAGTACTATTTTAAGTTTTACTTCATCATAATTGCAGCCACCAGGGCTTCCCAAAGTTTGTAGATAAGGCCAGAAGGGCTTGAATAAAACACATGGAAAATAGCCATAGTCAGGAATCGTTGCTTTTGTATTAATGCTAACAACAATAACTTGCACATTTATTATAACTGTAAGAGTAAAACTCTCCAAAGTGTTTAATAAGAACATTAACAGGCAATATCTGGCAACGAGCGACAACAAAGGCTATGTTTTATTCATTTACAGGACAAAGGCAGCGCTAGCTCAACCAGCATTTATTGCCCATCCCGATTGCCCAGAGGCAAAATTTTGAGACCATTCTGGTACTTTGAAACATTTCTAGATTTCTACAATCAGAAGGGAAATTTTAAAATGGGCAATTTGCAATTTGAAGATGCTCAAATACTGAGGTTGATGCATGCTGTGTCAAGAACAGTAATTCTGAAATTCATGCACCCACATCTTATGCATATTTTACCAACTTAAGCTAGAACTGATCCCTTGCTCAACTGATGCATTTCAAATGAATTTGCAGTTGCTTGGTAGGGAAAAACCTCTGAAATGATGTGAACAGCTAAAGGTTACTGTCACCAAAAACAACAAAAAGTTCCATTAATGGCTGCTTATTCACTTGAATAGTGCAGACCTTTTTAGCTGAGTGTTTGTTATTCACTAATGAGCCACTGATTTTACTCTTAATGTCACATCCAAAATGAGGCATCGACAGTGTAAAATCCAGAGATAAAAGTTACCCGCAGAAGGTTAAACATTTAAGTTCTGCTATCCTGACTGTATATGATAAATTGTAAACTAAAATATAAAAGTGTTTGGGTGCATTTTATTGATATAATGTGGAAACCAAGATCTAATTGATGAAATGGAATAAATCTCTTGTCTCAGTTGTGTGATTATCATAGTGAAGGATGAGTAAATTTTTTCCAATAATTATGCAAGTTGCAGAACAGATTGCCTCTCTGGCCATTGGTACTAGTAATGGAATACTCCTAATGCTAAATGAACTTGTAATAAAGTGTGTGAGTACTATCAAGAAAAAAATCATTTGAGACAGAGAGACAGATAGACAGGGGTTGACTTGAATTCATACAGCAACTTGCAGTACTGCAAGATGTCCCAAAATGTTTTATAGCCAAAGAAGCATTTATGAAGTATTGTCATGGCTGTAAGTCAGAAAGCGTGGCAGCTAATTTGTAGACAAGGTCCCTTAACCAGCAAAGAAATAGATAGTGACTGGGTAATCTGTTTTTTTTTTCAGTCATTGGTAGCGAAGTAAATATGAACAGGGTAATAAATTTAGCCTGATTCATCAAATATGGAGGGAGTTCGTGGACCCAAATGAAATTCCCAGATAATATTCAGCAACAGCAAAACGAGGGCGATCTGGAGGGGCCTCAGCAAGACAAAGTGGCACCACAGGAATCTTTTGGAGTCACTTTACACCCTAACATCTCTGGAGACACAATTGTGGGTACAAGTTCAGTGACAGCAGCTATGAATTCAACTGAAACAAACTTATGTTTGTACATTTCAAAAGGGGGTTTTAAACAAGCTTAGATGTTTTCAGTATATTGATGTGTTGAGTCGACATACTTCTGCAAGGAGTTGAGAGGTATTGATTGACTGATACTTGTTACTGAAATGAAGGGAAGCATAGGTTTGGACTGTTTGATGATCTTACAGCAGAAGAAGTTAAAGAAGCATGTATCAGCCAATGGAGCTCAGTGACCAGTACATCCATAAAACAAAATGTGATACTATTGATCACAAGGCATGGAATGATACTCAAACTTCAGGAAACAGAAGCAGTACTACAAAATATATGAAAAACTGTTTGATAGCTCAACCACATTCACACTTACATTCACTCTAGCAAGAGCTTTTGTACGATATGAGTGCAATACAAGTTATGTTTCAAAAATACGTTATAGGGTAATTGAAAGATATGAGCACACAAACATACAAATTTGGAGAAGTAGGCCATTTGATCTCTCTAGCCTTTTCTGCCATTCGATAAGATCATGACTGTTCTGATTGTAGTTTCAATTCTAATTTCCTGTCTCCCTCCCACTACCTCTGACTCCCCTCTTAGTTGAGAAGCTGTATACCATAGCCTTAAAATTATTCAAAAACGCTGTTTCTACTGTAGCGACTCATACATTCCAAGAAAACAAATCATAGAATCAGAGAATTCCTGCAGTGTGGAAGTAGGCAATTCAACCCAACGCATCCACACCAACCCTCCAAAGAGCATCCCACCCAGACCCACCCCCTACCCTAATCCCTGTAACCCTGCATCTCCCATGGCTAGCTCACCTAGCCTACACATCCCTGGACATGTGACCAATCCATCTAACCTGCACATCTTTGGACTGTGGGAGGAAACAGGAACACCCGGGCGGAACCCAAGAAGAAACAGAGAGAACATGCAAACTCCATACAGACAGTCACCTGAGGCTGAATTAAATGTGGGTCCCTGGCACTGTGAGGCAGCAATGCTAACCACTGAGCCACTGGGCTGCCCTAATAGTTTCATCACCTCTGTCTTAAATTTTATTTTAAACTCTGCTCCTTAGTTATAATCTCTCCCAAAAGGAGTCCTCACGACCACCATGTCAATTCTTCTTATGAGAGTGCCTCTTAAACTTCAATAGATGGAACAATCCTAGCCTGTTCAGTCCTGCCTTGAAAGATAATTGCCCCCATTCTATGTATCAGTCAAGTGAACCTTCTCTGAACTGCTTCTAATGCATTTATATCATTTCATAAACAAGGCGACCAAGCCTATAAACAGTACTTCAGAATTACATATGAACAGGCAAACAAGGAACAACATTCAGCCCCTCGAGCTTACTCTTTTGTACTTTCAAATCCACGTATATGCATATTCCTGATAAACTTGGCCCACTTGCTTACCAAGAATCTATCCACATCTGTCTTAAAAATATCCAGAAACTTCGATTTCATCACCTTTTCAGGAAGAGAATTGTAGACACTTGAAATACTTGAGAGAGAGAAAAAAAATCACCTTATCGCCATTTTAAATAGGTGACCCATTGTTTCAAATAGCGTCACCAATGCTGTGTACAAATTAAGCAAAACATTCCTACTTATATATTCCATGCCACTTGCAGTCAACAAGGTACTGTATTTTATCAATTCATCTAAATGTCAATTTTGAGGAGTTTCATGGAGGATTTATTTCCCTGTGCTCTAAGAATTAACTCATGCAATTCTCCTCTGCTTGCCTTGTTGTGTATACACCATACCTTTGTTGAACCCCTCATGCGCTATCATGTACTCATCAACAGTGAAGTACACACCATTGGTGAGATCTCCTTCACACCATGTTCAAAATGTCGTCATACACCACATCAAGCACTGCCAGCCAGAGGCTCCCCTTCACAGTGCATGTAGTGGGAGAGGAATAAAACAGAAAAGTTTCTGAGGGCACATGGGTGGCATGAGTGACAATTCATTGCAAATACAAGCTTACATTTGTAAATGAATTACTTTTTTACATCATTACTTGTCTGATCGACAATCAAGGTAACTGCAGCTGCAATCAAGCTACGACAGACTACCTGTCCCTTAGCACTATATCATGTCTAAGGGAATGGTGCTGTTTCTCTAATGCCCAGCATAGCATAACATATTCTTATTGCCCAATGTGAGAGAATCCAATGTTGAAAAGCCTTTTGTTAAACAATGGAAAGTTAACTTTTATTAAACAACACCAAATGCAAAGAAAAGCTGTATTTGCATCTGGGAACAAACAGCTTGCCTTTTGAAAAGCAACAAATTTACAATCAATGAATGATCATGGCACCCAGCTCACATCTATGGAACCAGATCTCAATTAGATTCTTTCTTTTTGTGCCTGACACTGCACTGATCTATCAGGGTGGAAATGATGTTCTTCCAGCTTAACTTCCTCATCTTCCTCCTCAAAAGACTGATGCCTCTCTTTCCTTGCTGTAGTTGTGTCGAGCACAACTGTTACAATTGTGTGACACATTCTCTCTGGACTTTAACAAACACACACACACACAAATCCTTTTGTATTTATTAAGTCAGCTGTGTTAGGATAAGGCACTCACAATGCAACATGTGTACAGTCTGTAATGCCTCGCAGCTGGGGGAACACAGCTATGTTGGCAAAGCCTACGGCATGGGCAGCAGCACTGACCTTATCACAGGGAAATGAGAGGTGGAATGATCTGGCATAAACTGCATCAATAATA